AAAAGCTCCAATACACTAGGGTTCTGTGAGTCCAATATATAAGCATATCAATGGAACTGAGCTAGTAAATTCCAGATTGAAAAAAAAAGTCATACTATACTTTCATGTTATTCCTTGCAATATGTTTTTCTAATACACCAGAAAAACTATTTGAAAACAAGTTGTTCAGATGTTTTCTTATGATCCTTCACATCAAATAGTTCTTTGGGTCTCTAAGGAGAAGGAGATAAAAACAAAGGTTCTTCATTCTATTTTCAGATAAAGAATCATCTATAATACAACCTCTTTGTTAAAATCTTGCTGATAATTCCAATTTCCCTAGGTGAATCACTGTGATCTATTATGCTTCTCCTTTCAGTACTTTTAGAAAAAGATTCCTGAGGGCAGACAACAAATGAAAGTTGGCAAAGCAGAGTCTCTGCTTCCAGCATCCTAGGCCAATTCAGAAAAAGAAGTTCCTGCTGTTTAATTTAATAAGTATCAGCGTCTAGCTGAAGCCTTCGATCACTGGGCCAGTCATTCTCAATTGGCATAAAAAAAGTGTTTCCGAATGTCTGTATTTCATTTCTGCATGCACATTTAGATGTCCTTCTGCTTTTTCCTAATGCACAAAATAGCACTGTTATGTTGTTATTTCTCTTGTCTGATCCATATACTTTGAATCTTTCATGTAAGAGTTTTACTTATGTTTATGCCATATGTAATTTTTTAATTTTCTATAATTAAACACTTTAAAATGTGTACCACAGTCTGTCTAATAATGGTTGAAATTTCCTCTTCATCCTGGATGGAGGATTTCTCTATCCAGTCCTGCATTTAGAATCAATTTTAAAAACTAGATTAGTTATCATGTCCTGATCCATGGAGTTTATCCTTCAATTATTTTGCACCAATTATATGTCTTTATTTTGTCATCCTAGTAATTCATAATGAATACATAGCACTCATTTAATTTATATATGTATAAATGCATACTTATACATATATACTTACAGTTTTTTTCACCTCTTTTTTTGATCTCCACTGAGTAGTCCTTATCACAGGCAAGAGAACAACTTAGAAATGTGCTTTAGGGACCAGAGCGGGCAGGGCATTTGCCTTGCATGCAGCCAACCCAGATTCAATTCCTGGTATGCAATATGGTCCCTCAAGCCTGCCACGAATGATTCCTGAGCTAAGAGTCAGGAGTAAGCCCTGGGCACCAGTAGGTGTGGCCCACAAACAAAACAAAAAATGTAAAGAAAATGTGTTTTTTAAAAAAACTTTCATCCCGAACCTAAGAAATTCACTCTTCCTTTAATTAAAAACCTTTAAATCAAATTATAACAATTCTCTGATCATACTGTTTCATGGAAAACTGGTTTAAATTGATTTATATTTTTGCATCCATGTACTTTTATTGATTTGGATTATGAATCAACGATCCTCCTTGTAGGAGGGATTTGCATTAAAGGGAAGAAATAATGAAGTTTATTACATACTTCCACCACAGTGTGTAGTAAGCTTTACTTCCATGATATTACAATAAATGTTACATACTTCTGAAAAATATGAAAAATCAACAGAGTTTAGTAAGAAATGTATAGCTAATGCAGTTATTTCAAAATGATAAAATGATAAAAATCCTTATCCCTATGTCCAGTCTTCTTTCCTGCCTATCATCACTTAGCTGAGTGGTCACACAGGAGTAGAACTTCAAGTTTTTATTTTCTGACCCTCTTCTAACCATGAACATAGTTATCTTCTTGTGTTTCCATCATTTTTCATGTGGGAATTCTCTTTGAGGTCATTGAAAAACCTCATGCAAAATCAAAGGCTGCATTGCAAAAGGCATGAGTTTCAATCTCATTTGTCCACTTTCTTTTGGACTCTTAGCAAGCAGCAAAATGACATTAGGGTAAGATCAACCTATAAAACACTGGAAAAAATAAGGTTAGTTGACATTAACCTAGTCACATTCTATATTCACTCAGAAATAGTGTGGGCTTCAGGTCATTGTCAGATAATCTTTCAAAAGAGAATAAAAAAAAAGAATCCAAATGAGAAAAAAAAGTAAAAACCCTGGCCACACCAAGTCTCTAAATATAGCTTTTCCACTTACCTCAATGCAGATAATTCTAAGATATATATATATATATATATATATATACATATATATTTGATTCTATTCATTCTGTTTAAAAGAGAGAGACCACACCAGGGTAAGCAATACGGGGTGGTCAGATGCATAATCTAATGACAGTGTATGGAAGCCACTACAGAAGACGGCCAGAGCTCTCTGCCAGTGAGTGGTGGGGCCAAGCGGCTGATTTCTATGCGGAGTCCACTGATATTTTCCAAGTATGGATTGTGCTTGTTGAAATGAAAATAGAAAATTCAGGTCCAGAGCTCATACTAAAGACTTTGTGTAGTGAATACATAAAACTGTCCGTGAAACTAGAAGTCTGTGTCTATAGAGAAAAATGAGTCGGCATGCGGAAATTCTTTTTAAAATTAATCTTTTGAATAACACTGAACTGATGTCTGGTTCTTGTGATTTCTAATGCCTTGAGACTTGGCTTTTCTGAGCCACTGAATTTGTATGCAGTTACATACTTCTGAAAAATATGAAAAATCAACAGAATTTAGTAAGAAATGTATAGCTAATGCAATTATTCCAAAATGATAAAAGTTCTTATCACTATGTCCAGTCTTCTTTGCTACCAAGCAAAATTGTCCAATTTTGAAATGACTTTAACATTACAGAAATGTGTGGATTCAAATCTGAACCACCTGATATCAGTGAAATGGTGTCTAGAAAGAACCGGTTGTAATAGACATGCCTTACCAGAAAAGTAGAAAGGATATAGAAAAAAAGAAAAACGTTAGTGAGGGAGGGTTTCTGGTTTTTCTCATATGTATTTCAATTATGTGGGTTCTCTAAATTTCTTCTTAGGTTTAGAAGATTGCAGGGAGTCAACCTCTGGGACCATGTCTAACCAATGTCATATTAGTTGCACACTGATAAAAGTGCACCTTGAATGACGTACCCTTTAAAATTTATATATGTCAATGCATTTTGTGTGTGAATTATTTCCTTCAAAATAATTTAGTATAATAAATAATAAAAATAATAATTTAGTAAGTTATTCCTCCCAAAAAAACATGAGAGCAAAGAAATCCCTTTCTTTTCAGTTCTTACTGCTTATAACTATTACAAAATAATACAGATGATTTTTACTTTTAGTCAATTTCCAAAACCCTTGGGATTTGTTTTTTTTATTCAGCACTACTGTGTTTATATTGATGTATTTTCTGTGCAGCATTGTAAATATAGAATACATGGTCTAAATTTTATTGTCATAGACTATGTAGCACTGTAGACACTGTCCTTCCATTGTTCATTGATTTGCTCAAGCAAGTCCAGTAACGTCTCCATTGTGCGACTTGTTGTTACTGTGTTTGGCATATCAAATATGTCACAGGTAGCTTGCCAGGCTTTGCCATATGGGCAAGATACTCTCGGTAGCTTGACGGGCTCTCTGAGAGGGGTGGAAGAATCGAACCCAGCTCTGCCAAGCTGGCCACGCACAAGGAAAATGCCCTACCACTGCTTATTGCTCCAGTCCTCATAGACTATGTATAGTCAGTTATTAGAATGAAAAACTTAAACTATGATAAATGTCCCATTGGCCAAAACAAAATAGTTAGGCTTTTTTAAAAATTCAAGATATTCTTTATGTATGATATGTCAAAATAAACTAAGTAGTGGTTTCTCAAGATTGTTCTGCTTATTCTATTCTTTCAGTATTTCTTAATAATTCAGTCAAACTTAAAATGGAATATAATTAGGATTATAAATGTTTATGTACAAAAAGAGAATATTATGTTGACACATTTAATTGTCTTAAAAAAGTTCTCATTTCAAAGGTTCAAAAATGAATGCTTTTTACTATGCAGCCCCAGATTTGTGTTGCTTTTAAGATACCAAATTAGAAAGATATGGACAGAGTTAGAGATTACTTAATCAGGTTGAACCTCGAACTTTTATTATAGCAGCTCCTATTCTGAAAATTATATCTGATAATGTTCTAAAGTATACACAGAGTTTAGTATATAAAGACACATAGCGCATTCATATAACATGGCACAATGCTTCCAAATATCAAAAAAGGCTTACCCACCCTCTTCAACTGACGTATTTGTGTTCAGAGTATTTTGCCACTCAGTACCTCTGAATTGTTATATGTGAAGAACTGAAACTTTGAGCTGGAATGTTTGTTTTGCATTTTCCTGTGCATAATCACAGGTTAGGGGCATTAATAAAGGGGTTGGTGTATTGGACACTTGTGAGGCCTATTATTTAGGCAGAGTCATGGCAACGGAGCAAAGCATGATGTGGGTAAGTGTGATATAATTCCAACCTATACTGTGTTGAATAGAAGACAATGTCAGCACACACAAGAAGTTAAACATCCAACACTATTTGAATTGATTCTTGTACTTGCAGATGGGAATAGTCCCTATATTAATATTATTTCAAGAAGGATAGTTGCCATTTCTTTCCCTAAACTGTCTACGGAAGTATCGTTATCATCTGTAGATCAAGATGGTGTCTGTCAAAAATCTCACTGAACTGCATTTCAGAGAGTGGAGGAAGCTTTAAATGGTAGTGCTTCAGGGATGTCCACGTGGGTGGGCAAGCATATGTTGCTGCTAAGCAGAGGAAGTGGTACACCAGGATTTCTTCATAAGTGTGAGGTCTTTATAAACTCATCCTCTTGGGAACTATTTTAAATAGAAAGAAAATGACACATGTCCGCAACCAGGCTTCCTAACTATTTGGAGAGGGTTGCCACTTTCCTCAAACATTAGGTTACTGTGGGTGAATTTTCCAAAATTGTCAACAATTCCTTTTTTAAACGTGGTTATTCCTTTCCACATGAGACAGAAGCAAGGCATCATAAGCTATATTTGGTATTGTAGGAGATGTAAGTTATTTTTACTGTGCTGACTCCTACCTGACAGTGGAAGACATATTCTGGTGTGGTTTTCTTAAATTTCATGTTCCAAACCAAGGCTACTCCGTCTGGTTCATGGGGAGCATCCTCATTGTTATTGTAGGAAGCAACCATCAGCTCCGGGTACTAAACAGAAGAGGTGACAAGGATTAATAACGCCAATATGAAAACACAAACTTATGTATCCCTAGAGATACACGCTATATCATATACTCAAAATCACATTTTCTGTTTAAATTGTGACATACTTAATATCAATTCACTGTCTCAACACAAGTGCAATTGGGCTTCTGCCTCCATTGTTCCCAGTGTGCACAATGTATTTGCAAATAACTATCAACCTGCACACATCTCTGAACCTTTATGTATCATTTGATATTTGGTCTATTTTCTCCTGTCTCCTAGGCTTTCATTCAACATTCATCTTCTGATTTTCTTCCTGACCACTCTTCTTAGTCTCCCTGGGTTCTCCTATTATTCACGTTCCAAGTGGGTCTGGTTTCTGTCTTAAATTTTTGTCTAACTTATACACTCTACCTGTATGATCTCTTCTATCCCAACACTGTTAACTAGCATTAACATATAGTTACAATGTTCACATCTATATTCTTCCACTTGAACTCAAGCCTTTCATAGTTATCCATCTTGCCTACTGGCGATTGCCTTAGGTCATCCTATTGACACATCAAATGATGTTCACAGAAAAATGAGCCCAAACTTCTGCACAGAATCAATGCTCTTCCAATATTTCCTATTTGGTTCCATCTATTATTACTCACCTAGCTGCCTAGGCCAGATATTCCATGTTCTTTTCCACTTCTTCTTTCTCACCTCCATGGGATGTGCTACTTCTTCAGTATCTTTCAAATGCATTTTCCCCCTGTTCATCCTTCATTCCTGAGCCTCCTCATTTCATTAGATGAAGGTAGTAGTTTCCTGTTTCAAGGATAGGTCCCACCTTCCCCTATTTCACTTTCCTTCCTTTGCCAATGTGATATTCTAAAGCATACATTTATCTATGCCATTTTTTACTTAAAATACTCTGGTTTTTTCAGGAAAAAATCCAGCCTATATAGAATATTTTATGATCTGTTTATATTGCACTTCTTCCACCTAGCTTCATAATTTATCTCTATCAGCCCCCTATGATTCTGCCTTGCAAGACTGGCTATGAAGTTCATAGGCATAGCTTCTCTACCGATAAGTTTGACACTCACTTTCATTCACTTTAGTTAGAATGCTTTTTCTGTTTTGCTTATATCATTGACTTGCCATTTTAGACTGAATTCAAGCATTAATTCTTCTAGAAAATCCCAAGTATCCTTTTTGCCTCTTATTGACTCCCTTCGCCTTACATATGTTTCCCATGAAAGTGCTTGTCGAACTGTATTATTATATTTTCACACCTCTGTCCTTTACTAGATTAAACTCTTCAAGTATCAGGATTGGTTTTTATTGACTCTCAATAGTAATACTAGCACATTATAAACTTGTACAAAACCCTGTTGAATTATGAATGCTCTTTTTTTACTTCAGTAATTCATGCTCAGTGAAAAACTTTAAATCTAATACTTTTAATACTTTGTTGTCAAACAATGCCAACAGTCAAAGGCATAAGTGCAAAATACACAACCAATGAAATAACAAAGACTGAAAAGTCTGCTCATCCTCCATGAATTCTGTGCTGTGTTATCAAACAAACTAAGGAAGATTTTTTTTTCTTTTTGGGTCACACCTGGCAATGCACAGGGGTTACTCCCGACTCATGCACTCAGGAATTACTCCTGGCAGTTCTTGGGGGACCATAAGGGATGCTGGGAATTGAACCTGGGTCGGTCGTGTGCAAGGCAAACACCCTACCTGCTGTGCTATCACTCCAGCCCAATAAGGAAGAATTTTATGAGTTAGGATGCTTTACATGAAAATGCCATCCCTACTTGGGATTTTCATAAGGCAGCCCCATTAAAAAATTAGCATCAGGATTACAGCATATCATATCATTCTTTTCTCATAACTTACTTTTTCCTTCTTTTTCACCATGTTGCTCACATACGTAACAGGAGATTATTCTTATAAATTTGGATATAATATCTTCCTATCAAAAATAATATAACCTAAGTTGTTCGATTACCTTTTTTTGAGCTCCTTAATCTTAAGCAAGCTGCAGAGAATTACAGTTTACTGGTTGAGGCAGAGGAAGTATAAGCCTACTCTGATAACACATGCATGTGGCTACCAGGGGAAGTAATCATTCTTTATTAGAAAACACTCCTCTGTGGATAAATCAAAGGCCTATTAAAAAAGGCCTTTGATTCAGAGCCCATTCAAAGAAACTAACATCCAGATAAACACATAAGTCTCCAGACTGTCCATCTGAAGTTTAACTATGTCACATGTGAAAAGGCAACTCTATAAACATCAACACGACTACCAAGAGGCCCATGAGCAGCCAGATGTGTCTAGAATAATATTCTACAGCTTTACATCTGTGTCTCATCTTTGGTTCTGACTTGCAGCTTTTTTTTCCCATTAAAGAGATATTTTAAATTATTTTACTTTAAACTATCTTTGTAAAATAAGGTACACTTTAGTAAAATACCAGTAGAATCCTATAGTGTAATTTCTATAACTGGGATTATAAGGCCTAAAGATACTGATTTAAATCATATGCAGTTTTTATGATTTCAAAGTCTCCTCTATAATGTCTTTTTCATTGTTTATTTAAACATGTTTGGTTGACTGGTCATATTTTCCTATTATCCAATAAAAGAAAATGTCTAAACAATTGTTTAGACCTTCAGGACTAAAATTATGATATTAAAGAGAATATGAAACTTATGAAGTCTGTGATTTCTCATAGGGTTTGAAAATATAATAACCAAGGAGATTTTTACAGAAATGACCAGATCTTCTCTCATCTCAGGTGTTTGTTCTGATATAGAAATAAATTCTGACATTTATTGGAGAGGAAGAAACTGACATGCTTTCAGTAGCCATTTTGTGCCAAAAACTTTAGTTACATGATATGTACAACTCAGATGTCTTTGTAATCCTCTAAAGTAGGTAATGATCTTCCCACTTCTAGACAAAGAAACCAAAGGTCTCTGAGTAAGTAAGTGAGTTTACATTATGTTGCTAATGAATGATGAACTGAGAATCATGCCTATAGTCTGGCTTCAGAGGTCATACTTATTTTCTCCCACAAAACAACAACAGCAACAAAGTCAAAAAGACAGTGGGCTATATATAACACAGGACAAGAAGGTTGATATTCTTTAGAAACTCACAATTTCATAAAGGGAGGCAAGGCACATTTACAACTAGAAAACAAACGTTTTACAAAAGAAGAACATGATAACTACTAAGATGGAGGTTTAAGTAAGGTATTATAGGAATCAGAGGAGAGAACGACCATATCTGTTGGGGAGATTTATGACTGGGAAAGAAATTGTAACAGATTTCAAAGCAACAATAGAGATGTGATTAGACTAGCAGAGTACGTTGAGAGGGGAGGATAGCATGGAAAGTGAATACATACTCTTGGGAGCAGATTTCTCTTAGCTAACTTCCTAGCTTGCAGTGAGATTTTTTATTTTTAGAAATTATCTCAGTTCACAGGTGACTAATTTCTTAGGGAAAAAAGAATTAGTGTGCTATTGATACTTGACCCAGATGGGCCAATCACATCTCTCAGTCATTACTGTGTATTTCAAAGCAAGTCACAGAACCTGTGGGTTGACAATTAAGTCACGTTGTGGCAGCATCTTATGGGTGAGGTCCCTCTAGATGCCAATTTCTGCTCTTAGTTCTGGTTCTTTCTCTTTCCTGTGGATTTTCTTAGTAACTTAAGAGTTCTCCAAATAATTATCCATTTCGTTGAACTAGTCAAAGGTAAAGATTCCTTAACTAAAACATTAGAGAAGAATTTGATCTGGGGAAATCAGGTTGTGGTATTTCGCGAGGGAAATTAAATGGAGTGGTTTTAAAATGAAGAAAGGACTACAAATGTCTTAAGATATCGTAACAGAAGTCACTGAAATCCAGAGCACAGAATAATGATTTTAAACTTTACTCTGGAGTAGTCAGAGTCATACTCTCAAGTACTTATGCTACTCCTATTACTATATGATATTTATCGAGCACTTTAAAAAGTATTAAACACATTTAAAACTTTGAAGTGCTTTAAATACACAGAGTAAGTATGTAGGAAGCTATTATTATAATCAGTTTATGAATGATAAGAAGCCAGGTAGTTTGCCAGCGGCAATATTCAAAGCATAAAAGGAAATATATACAAATATAAATGGGGAAAGTATTTATGTATAGTGACTCAATAGTGAAGAGAATTTGAGACAGGGAAACCAGTGGGGAGATTATTTCCTAATATATGCAAGGTTGAGGGCATGACATAAAGTAGGTGTCAAACCCACACATTAGTTGGTTTGAACTGGTGTCAGTTGGAGTTTTTTTACTGTTGTAAATTTGACATGATTTGTCAACTAAATGAACTATCAAAGATTATTCGGGTGTGTATCCTGGATTCCTCCAAGAATATATATATACACATATATATACATAGACTGTATATGGTGGGAACAAATTCATGAGTCTGGAAATCTAATGATGTGGTTTATGCACAGTCTTACTAACTCTTTACACTAAACACTTTTTTTGAGTGACAAAAATAATTTCCCAAGTACCCATATTTCCTCCATGGAATAGATGTTGGCAGACAATTTGCATATATTACAAGGTTAAATTTTTCTGTTTCAGAAAGTTCAACAGATCAAACAAAGCTCTACAGAATTCCTATAGTTTCTTCCTTTTCTGTTCTCTGATTCAATTTGTTCTGCTCAAGTAACCATCCTAGGCCTACATGTCACTACTTCCAGACTGTGACTCTATCCTTCCTTTAGTTATTATTCTAGTATTGTGTTTATATTTACTCATAAAATCACTCTATCTCACAAGTCTTTAAAGCTTGTCCTTTTTAACACTCCCTCCTAAAATATTATGATATAGCATCTATGTGGGCTGGAGCGATAGCACAGTGGGTAGGGCGTTTGCCTTGCAAGTGGCCAACATGGCCGACCCGAGTTTGATTCCTCCGCCCCTCTCGGAGAGCCCAGCAAGCTACTGAGAGTATCTCGCCCGCACAGCAAAGCCTGGCAAGCTTCCCGTGACATATTCAATATGCCAAACACAGTAACAAGTCTCACAACGGAGATGTTACTGGGCCCACTCGAGCAAATCGATGAACAATGGGAGGGCAGTGACAGTGACAGTGACAGTGACATTGACAGCATCTAAGTATTCCAGTTCCACATAAAAGAAAAAAAATTCAGAACTATAAACCCTCTACTCCAGCTACCAGGCAGGTTATACAAAAATGGATCACCCTGGGTGGAGTTTCTGCCTTTACAATTTCACTTTCTGCAACAAAAATGTCCCATGGGATGCTGTGTGAAAACAAAATCCATTCATGGGCAACATGACTCATCACATGCAGGAACCAGCCGGACTGCTGCCAGCCTTGCTTCCACTTTAGGGAGCATCATCAGCTGACCCAGGAACGCAGTAAAAGGTGCCTCTGAGGAATGTGTCAGATAAGGTTCCTGTGTAATTTCCAGACTCAGAACAAGTGAACAAGAAGAGCTAAATGTTTTATCAAGCCTGGATCTGATTTCTGCATACACCCAAACGCGCTCTCAGACCACCCACCTACTGGCGGGAAGTGGCTGGGCAAACTCTGCTTAGATTATTCTCTGCAGAATCATGAGCTGCATGCTCTGCTGTTTGGATGTAGAAGGAAATTCAAGAGGAAAGAACATTCACCGACTTTGTGGTTGATGACAGTTTGGGTGTGGGGGGTTACATTTCTCTTCAGTGCACCTGTTCTCTAGGAGGATTAGATAGGGCTCTCCACATAATCTATTTTACTGTTCTAACACACACTCTTCTTCACCCATCTGTCTAAGTTCCAGTCTTCTGAGAAACTCCAGCTGTCCAGGGACAGATTCTGATCTCATTGAACTCTGAGAGCACATGATCTCTGTGCTGTATCAGTCAGCACTTAGGCTATCTCTTGACTAGAGATTTAAAAGCATTTTGTGGGAAGCAAAGGTGAAGAACATGTGTCTTGATATACTAAAAGGCCTGAGTTCAAATCTTGCTCTATCACATCATGGATGAATGATCCTAGTTACTTTGCTTTTCTGAACTCGAGTTTCTTCCACTTAAAATGGTAACAGTGATAGTGACAACCTAATTTTGAAGATGAGATAAGATAACACCTTCAGAGCTGTTGGCATTCTGATTGACATATAAGAAACACAAATTAAAAAGCTAGCCGTAACCGTTATTCCCCCAAAGCATAAACTAGAAGAAAGAAGAACTGGTTTGTGCACACCCAGAGTAATAATTTCTACTTTCTTTATTGCTACATGTCATGCCATAGAGAACATAACATTGTCATTAACAAAATGGGCTCAGGAATCAGACCACCTCAATTCTAATTCTGGCTGTACCAAAACTAAACAATGTACATCTTTGTGCACATTTGCTAATAACTCTGTATTGAGTAAATAAATTGTTTACCAGTTTAGCTGTCCATTCAGAAAACTGTTTTTTAGTAAATTTGTATGCTTTCCCTATGAGTGCTACACTAAAGATTTTTGACTCTTCCCCTTTTCTTACAGACAATGAGTAGTTTTAATATAGAGAGTGAAGCAATCAGCTTCGCATTTTAGAAAATTTAGCTATTCTGTGGGGAAAAACGTAGTGGACAAGGTATGTTATAGAGAGACTGTCTAAGATACAAGATGATGAGTAAATAAATGGAGTAGTGGACAACCTTGTTGTCAAACTAGGTCTAGGAGACAAGAGAGGGAAAGACATTAATGTTAATGCTGAAAATTCTGCTTTAAGCCCTAGAGGATATCATGATGGCTTTAACATAGAAAATATCATAAGTTGAAAATGCATATGGAAATAATGAATCATTTGTTAATTTAAGATCCTGTGAGATACCTGAGTAGATATATCTGCTGTAGGAAGTACAATTCAATAAAGAGATTGAGATGGAGATATGAACAGGCTACCCATGAATTATTGAAGTCCTAGCAGTGAAAGAGACATTTAACAGAGAATAGTTGAGGAAGAATAGCAGAACTTGAAGGCATGACCATAAAGATCCCTAAAATGGAAGAGCAAATAGAAGCCTTTGAAAAGTTACAGAAAAGAGTAGATTTGTTGAATACATCGAAAGAATGTTTCCTAGAAGTATGGGGAAATCAACTAAGCTGGATACCTCTGGAAAGGGCAGATGAAAGTTTTAAAATATCCATTGGATTTGACAAGTAGGAGTCACTGGTGACCTTAATAGGAGCAGTCTCATAGATATAATGAACTGGTTTCTTGTCTTGTACATAGTACTCAATCAATGTGAGTAAATGAGTGCAAGACTCAATAAAATGGTCGACATGATGATCGACAGAGGGAAAATTGTAGGTCAGTGAACATTTCCAAAGAATTGCAATCAATTTAATTCTTAACATAAATTTTACAAAATTTTAAGTTCAGTTTATCCCCTCCCAATAACCGTACTTACCTGGAGAGACCAGTCCATACAAGTGACTACTCGGTGCTTGGACCAATGCTCATCATAGAACTGACGATTGAACGAAAGGTTGGATCCAGCCTGGACATCTCTAGGAGGATTTAAACATCAAAGATAAATATAACACCTCAAAATGGGGTTTTATCTTTATGCTTCCATACCAAAAAAAATGAGATACAAAGATAATGGCACATTATACTCTGAGATTAAAATATTAATTTGAGTAGCAAATTCTAATCATAAAAGAACTAGAGATGTCTTAAGTCTCCCTAACCAGAAAAGGCTCCTACATGTTGTTCTAAGCATACTATCAAATTTGTTTCAGATTCCTGTATTTGTGTGTGTGTGTGTGTGTGTGTGTGTGTGTGTGTGTGTGTGTGTGTACGCGTGCATATGTATGGGCAGGGACAAGTATTGTGGTACTGGAGATCTCACACGTTCTAAGTATGTATGCCACCACATATCCCTGCCCCTCAGGTTCCCATCATGGCTTTCCCTAATTCATTGTTCTTTAATAAGTTCTATTTTGAAGCAGATTTTACTGTAAATCTCCTAGCAATTAAGGAATTACAAGGCATTTGAGGATTATTTTATATCAATCTCTTTATCTGGCCATAGACCTGGGATGATATGCATGTTTCTGTTTACCTGTAATTTCTTATTAAGTAGCTAACTTCTTACTCAATATCAAGAACTAAAATGAGTTTGCCATAGATAACAGAGCTGGAAATATCAAATTTATTAAATACTTACCATTGACAAAAAGCATCTAGCATTGGCAGATATTTACTTGGATAATATCAACAGATCACAAAACGTCCTTGAATAACTTTGCATTGACCAGAAATTCACTCCACAAGATTATTTAAATTGAATAATGCTTGTTCAGTGCTAGCTCCTATTGGATTTGGACAAAATGCTGCCTAAATTGTCAGAGATTTCGGCAAATTTATTATTATAAATTTACTCACTCTCAATTTTTCTCTACTCATTTCACTTGTCTTATATGACTTATCTTCAGCCTGCTCGACTTGACTCCAGATTCTTTCCCTGGGTCCTTTTCAGCTAACTTGAGGAATCAATGCAGATCTTAAGGATCTGGCACTGTAGCACTGTTCTCCCATTGTTCATCAATTTGCTCAAGTGGGTCCAGTAACGTCTCCATTGTGAGATTCCTTGTTCCTGTGTTTGGCATATTGAATACATCACGGGGGAGCTTGCCAGGTTTTGCCATGTGGGCGAGATACACTTGATAGCTTGCCAGGCTCTCTGAGAGGGGCGGAGGAATTGAACCCTGCTCCGCCGTGCCGGCCGCGAGCAAGATAAACGCCCTACCGCTGTGCTATCGCTCCAACCCAGCTAACTTATGATTTTTTTCCCCTTCTTCTCTTTCCTTACCCTTACTCAACTGCTGTTCCACTGTTGCAAGCTCAGACAAGAGGTAAATGTTCCCAATTTACTCTCAGGAACCCAGGCATCCAAAGGAAATAGGACCACCTGTAAAATCATTTGAACCACAGAACAATGGCTTTCTAAAAGGAAAAAAAACCTCAGAATGTGTATATTCTAAATATATTGTTGCTTGAAAGTAGTCTAAGGATGTTCCCAACTATATAGTGCATTTTCACAACTTCTAAAACCTTCTAAGGCTCTGTTATATTTCTTCCAGTTTCCTTAATGACATCCTATCCTTTATATGTATTTTAATTTTATAAATATTACCAAAGTCAGTTCTGATGAAAAAGGCAGATGAGCTCACTTTTTTCACCAAAATAAATATGTAGCTATAAAACAATTTTTCAAAGGCTTGTAAAATTCCTCCCTGCATTTTCCTTCTCCTTTATCAGTGAAGGTCTGCCCTAATTCAGGTATAGTTGCTTCAGCTTCCTGTTTGCTTAGACATCAAAAACAGATCCACTGGATATAACATCTATCCTGTTGCTGCTTATAAGAATGTTTTTTCAGAAGACAATGTACATGACTCTGCCAGTCTCTATCACCTGGACTGTTCTCCAGATATCAAGTTCAAAAGCATTTCACGGAAGCACATGATAATTACAGGGAAACTCTAAGCCATAAGTTATAACCAAAGCCCTTAGTCAAAGCTGTTCAGCAAGATCAATCCTGGAATTTCATTCTTTCCTGATATGTTAGGTTTAGGACTCGCCTTGTCAATCTCTAGATATATTTAGATAAATAGTGTTATCACAGAATTTAAAACACACACACACACACACACACACACACACACACACACACACACACGAAACTGACCCATCTTTTTCCTCCAATTCTCGACCGCTGTAGTCAAAGAAGATATCAGAGTCTTCTGCCAGCGCTCTTTCAATTACCCTTATTGTCCGATCAAAAAAGATGAGGAATTCCTCTGAATGAAGGATCTGCTGCTTTTCTTCTTCCGTCAGCTCCCTTGGAGGGGCTTTTTTTGTGTGTGTGTCAAAGAAGATTGTTGGGAAAGAAAGAAAAGGACAATTAAAGCAATTTAAGAGGAGCCCAACATGATGGCCTCTCTGTATCTGTATTGCAAACTCTAATGCCCGAAAGTAGAGAGAGAGAATATTGGGGAAATTGTTCGCCAGGGAGGCAGCGGGAGGGTGAGAAAGGGGGTGTATACTGGGGAGATTGGTGGTAGGAAATGCGCACTGGTGGAGGGATGGGTGTTTGAACATTGTATGATTGTATCTAAAACACGAAAGTTTCTAACTGTATCTGACAGTGATTCAATAAAAAATAAATAAATAAAAATAAAAAGAACAACTCAAAAAAAAAATAAGGAGCCTAACCCTTGGGAGAGAATGTTTTTCAAAGAAGTGAAAGAAGTGCTAAGAAACATTGAAATAAACACAGCGGTAGGGCGTTTGCCTTGCACGCAGCCAGCCCGGCTGAGTTGGGTTCGATTCCTCCATCCCTCTCAGAGAGCCCGGCAGGCTGCCGAGAGTATCTCGCCTGCACGGCAAAGCCTGGCAAGCTACCCGTGACGTATTCGATATGCCAAACACAGTAACAACAAGTATCACGATGGAGACGTTACTGGGCCCGCTCAAGCAAACTGATGAATTAACGGGAGGACCGTGATATCAATTTTAATTTATTTATAAATTCACAACAAAGATTTTTGCAGGTGTGTCCACTGGCAATTTTGCAAAAAAGGATTTCCTATTCTGTACTACTTTTAAGTATTGCAAATGAAAAGGTTACAAATAAAAACAGATGAGAAGCTATTTTTAGCAATCTGCTTCTGATATTTCCTTAAAGTAGAACTTGGGAAACAACTCTAAAAACCATTTTGAAATATTACATAACAGAGAAATCTATGAAACTTTTAATGACAGATACTATTATAATGCTGCATGTGTTGCATAATAAAGAACTACCCATAACGTGAGCCAGACAATTCCTCTTCTTGTTTTATTTTGTATGGCTAGCTGGTAAGGCTGACAGAGTAATACTGATCCACTCAAAAACTAAAACATATCCTTCTAAATCTGATTTTTGAAGGAATATAACTTATTGAGGCTATTATTTTAGTGCAGCATTATTCACAATAGACAATGTATAGAAATAATCTAATTGTTCATCAATGGGCAAATAAAAATGGTATATAGACACACAAAAATACTACTTAACTATGAAAATGATAAAATATTTGACATTTGTGGGTTGAGGATATGACTTAAGTAGTGGAGCATATCTGGCATGTATGAAGCCCTGGATTTCAGACTCAGCACTGGAGGTCACCCCAAGTGACCCTATCCCCTAAGAGTTGTAATGCTACAACTAACAAAAACTCATTATTATTCTATGCGTGACAATACTAAGGATCAAGAAGCTGTTAAGTCAGACTAAGAAAGACAAATACTACATTATTACACTCATATGTGCAAGTTAATAGACAAATAAAAGAAACGTAATTATTAGAACAAAATGGTGCTTATCAGAGGAGAAAGGAAAGGGCAGGGGGTGGGGGTGAGAAAATGGGGTGAAAAGGATCAATTGTAAGGATAGAAATTAGACTTAAAGGGCGATCATGCTGTAGTGTAAACAGATATATTCTAATATGTATCTAGAACATAATAATTTAAACCAATCTTCTACAAAAAATAAGAAAAAGAAACCTTACCAAATTGTGTATTTTTTTTTTACAATACTCCCCTTGCCTCACCATCTTTATTGAGTTACTGTGATTTACAATATTGTCAATGATAGTTTCATGCATATATAGTTCCATCACCACATCTAGAACGAGAATGCCCACTTCCCTGCACCAGTGTCCCAGAGACTCCTTCCAGCCCATCTGCTCTCCCATAAGGTCAGTCCTGGAGACAAACTCTCCATTATTGTTGTCTTTGGCTATTCGTTGTCTCGTCACTGTTTCTTATACCATATATGAGAGATTTATTGTGGAGGTAATAACAATGATAAACATATAGATGAATTAAGCTAAATTCCAGAAAGGTAAGTTGATCATTTTTCCCAAAGATATTTTAACAGATATATAAACCAAAAAATTAAGAGTATGAATAGTTATATACTAATATATTCTTTAAATTTACACAAACTAGATAAATCCTACAAATATGTGATTTGGCAAGAGTAAGGAGGGGAGAATTTATTTATTTTTTAAATTTTTATTAGTGAAACACCATGAGCTACAGTTGTAGACTTACAAAATTTTGTGTTTGGGTTTCAATTATACAATGATCAAATATCCATCCCTCCAACAGTGCCCATTTTCCACCACCATGAGTCCCAGTATCCTTCCCACCCTCCATACCCCCCATTCCACCCTGCCACTGTGGCGGGGCATTCTCTTTTTTCTCTCTCTCCTTTTGGGTGTTGTGGTTTGCAAAAGAGGCATTGAGTGGCAATCATGTTTGGTACTTTCAGCATGCTTCTCCCATTGTGGGAAGATCCTCCCAATACCATTTACTTGGTGCTCCCTTCTCTATCTGAGCTGCCTTTTCCCCTAGCATGTGTGGCTGGCTTCCAAGCAATGGAGCAAAATTCCTGGTACTAATCTCAGCCACTCTTGGGTGTTAGCTCCTATTTTGTTACTTTATGTTCCCCAGATGAATGCAATCTTTCATGTCTGTCCCTCTCTTTCTGACTCATTTCACTTAGCATGATACTTTCCATGTAGTACCACTTGTATGTAAATTTCATGATTTTATCATTTCTAATAGCTACATAGTACTCCATTGTGTACATGTACCAAAGTTTCTTTAACCAGTCATCTGCTCTCAGGCACTCAGGTTTTTTTCCAGATTCTGGCTATTGTAAACAGTGCTGCAATGAACAAACAAGTGCAGATGTCACTTTGACTATACTTTTTTGCCTCTCCAGGGTAATATTCCCAGGAGTGGTATTGCTGGGTCAAATGGGAGCTCAATTTCTAATTTTTGGAGAATCGTCCATACTGTTTTCCAAAAGGGCTGAACTAGTCGGCATTCCCACCAGCAGTGAAGGAGGGTTTTTTTCTCACCACATCCACGCCAACACTGGTTTCTTTCGTTCTTTTGGATGTGGGCCAGTCTCTGTGGTGTGAGATGATATCTCATTGTGGTTTTGATCTGCTTCTCCCTTATGTCTAAATCTGATTTTAATTGTTCTATAAAACACATCACTTTTTTTCTCTTCAATGCTGGGTATGTATCCCATATCCTCCACATGCTAGGCTAATCCTTAACCTTTGAGCTACATTCCCAGTCCCTTGCAATTATCTTTATAATTTATTTTTCTAGCATGATTATTAATTTTAATCACATTGAAGTTTTAAAATACATGGAAAACAGATAAACTAGAATAATGATTTATAGAAATGTAACTTGATGTGACTAATGGCATACTGAAGCAATTATTATAAAAAATATTAAAATCTCTACACCTTTTACTGGTTTTATTGGTATGGGAGGCCATACCTAACCTTCCTCAGGGCTACTCCTGGAGGTTTTGGGGGGACCATATGTGGTGCTGGGATTGAACTAGCATAAATCCCTGTCCCACCTCTACAATCCTTAAACTTTTAATATTCAGAGTATCTCTTCCCTGCTTGTCTCCCTTTTCTCTTCTCCAGACTGTGATTCAGAAGGTCTGATGGACTTCTAGAATTTACTGATACAAAAAACTAGAATGATTCTGAGGTAACTGTTTCTATACCTTGAGAAATGCATTCTGGGTACTGTAACTGAAAAGCAGTTTATCTACTGTAATAGAAGTTCTTCATAGCAGTTTGAAGATCTTACCCCATTGATTGTAGCATGCAAATCACAGATAGAAATACTTATTTGCTGACTAATACTCCAGAGTCCTCAATATACAAGTGTTCTGGGGCCCACCAAGATGCACTTTCAAGTTTGGCTGAACAGTATTGTCAGCTATTGGCTTCAGAAACAATAAAGCCAATATTGGGCAGAGAGTAAGTCACAGAAAATCTATGAATGCAACCTGTAATCAAAATATTCTCTGTTAGCTTTGATATTTTAATGAATTGAAGCTCTTTAAGCTGCAGTTTTTTTTCTATAATTTGGGTCAATGATATCTAAACTAAAGTGTGATTTAATGATCAAAGATATATATTATAATGGAATATTTTAATACTTGGCTAATTTAGATACATAATATTGAAGTATATAATATATAATACGTATGGAAAATAGCCAAGCATTAAAATATTACAGAATTAGCATGAGTTGGAATTTAATAGTTTATTTAAAAATCTCCCATAAATGAGGCATTTAATTTTTCATTCTTATGTAAATTCAGAAAACAGTACAGCTACTTAATGAGTATCAGCAAAAGGGGGCAAATACCTAAAAAATGGTCATTTTGTTTTGGTTGGCACTTTTATATAAATGAGCCTCACTAAACAAAAATGCTGTAGGGTACAGACTAATATCTTAAAAGCATGGTTCAGTCATTCTTGATGGATAGCTTGAAATAAATTTGAGATTAAGGAAAGAAATAATATTTCCTCCTTTTTACTTCTGTCCATATGATAAAAAACAACACTTACTATTCTATTTATCTTTGTGAGCTACCCTATTTCTCCCGCATCATTCCTTAGAGGTCCTTCATCTTGAATAAAAAAAAGAGTATCCATATAATTTTCTGTAATTTTTTTCTTCCCTTAGCTTATTGTCACTTTGATCTCAGCTTTTAAGACAACTTCTTTATGAGAAACATAAATGGCTGATCAAAGTATCTTTTCAGAGGCCAAGTTCAGGTAGGTGAAGCAGTAGCCTCTCCAGATACTGTGTTTGACAGTGCAATATTTGGCTTGAAATTAAACTGCTGCTGAAGCAAAACAAAGGATATATTTTATATTAAGCTTTGATGTTTAACGGGGATCAAATGACATGATCTGTTAGCACAAAAAACAACACGCATGTGCAGACAGGCACTATTTAGAAGTCATAAACA